GTGTCTTGGTGACATCATACACTGTGCCCTTTTTGAAATATTTTATTTTTAAATTATTTTTGAGTGCTTTAGAGATATTTTTTGGGGGCGAGATTTGGATTCTCTCCAGAAAAGAGAATCTGGCAATCTAGGACCACCTTTTTGTATTAGTTTTGTTCTCGGCAAAAGAGAATTTGGGTCACCTTCCGCGGTCAGTGGGCTTCCTCTCAGAGCAACTGCAGTGCTGGGCCAATATCACAGGTAGGCCTGGTCTAAGACATTGCGCCAGTCGCGCTGGTGCACGACCGCGTGACGTAGGCTGGCCCATGCACCGAGCACGGGCGACGCAGCCGGCCCACGGGTGCGCGCCCGGCCGCCACCGAAGATGAAGAAGAGGAGGGGGGACTCGCTGTGGGCGTGCTAGGGTTCGTTGGAGCTCCAGCGCGCTAGGGCCGGTGGGGGTGGGGGCGGGGGCGAGTACAGCGGGAGGCGGGGTTGAGGATGACGGCGAGGGAGGGGCAGCGGAGGAGGAGCACGGAGAGGGAGAAAAGGGCAGGGGAGGAGGTGGACGCGCGGTAGACCATGGGGTCGCGCTATAACATCGTCGGTTTCTAAAGGGAAATAGGAGTCTGCATATTATATTGTGTGTATATAGCCTGTTTGAAATATAGAAAAAAAAATTGTGTACTATATCTTTGTGTGAAATTATATTAATTCCTATAAAATTCATAAACGCATGCGAAATGCATCTTGTTCCGTCCCCCATCCCCGCTCAAAGAAAGCTTCATGCAACCACCCATAAAGGTGCATGACGCCGATCTCTTCCACATTAAGAAGCGGCCCGGCCATTAGGTGCACCGGGCCATACAAGTATCAGTACCACGATGGAACTGTCCATATTGCTGGTGCCAACCGTGGCTACGTACGACACTTCACGCTGCAATAACCAAGCCGCCGTTGGAGCTGCACTCCCTGATTGTGGAGGTCATTTCGCTGGGGCGTGTACGCGCACGGCTCCTGACAATGTAACTCTGCTGCTGGCTCTCGCTCCATTAACCACCAAACCGGCTCGAAAAGGTGCTTTTCGTGTCTGTGTTAAGAGTAATATAATACAGTGCACTGTGCAGTACGTAACGTCGCCGTACCATCCAACGGCCAACCGTTTTTGCAAATCTGTCGTGCTGTGCTGGCTTTCATTTCCACCGCTTAACTGATTGATGGCATGGCGGGATGCCGTCGTTCTAACCGTGCGCGTTTATCTGCCTGTCAGTGTCAGGCTTCTCTGATTAGGACCTGCACGCCGCTGAAAGTCTCTTGGACAAATTTTGCTGGCAACGCGAGGAGGTCCACGATGCAAACATGATGGCCCATGGCCGTATATACGCAAGAAGGGTGCCTGCTGTCAGTTACTAAGTCACGCGATGGTGGGTGAATACATTCATTGTGATCCAAAATGTATGGAGCATGGATCATGCCCTCATGCGTTGTTCGTCCCTAGTGGCGATGCCTCTCGAGTCTGTCCCTCCGTCACCGTGCAGATAATCGGATTCTTACGGATAGCTGTGATGGATGTCATTCGTTTAGATGTCAGTAGCTGCTGACCGACTGCTCCTGCTCTAGCTCGTTGCCATCTAAATTATTTTCGATAATAACTTTCTTTATATCTAAAATATTAGAAACGATAGGCAATATAAACGACAAAGAACAGTAGATCAAACATAGGGGACACGAGATTTTAACGTGGAAAACCCTTCCAAGGAAGAAGGAAAAAAACCACGGACACCAGCCAGCAAATCTTCACTATATCGGGTGAGGTTACAAACGTCGGGGATTTACAACTTTTCTTATCCCAAGACGACGGCTTACAGGAAGTATATATAGATGGAAAACCCTAATAGACGACGATCCATACCTCCCGGCGACGGGCCTCACTTCACTCCGACAGAAGTTAGTTTTTATCTTATACATAACCGAATTTAGATCACAGCTCAACAAAAAAAAAAAGTCAGATGTCAGCCGGCTGCAGCTAGAGCGTCAGCTAATCGGATCGGATGCAGACGCGCAGAGGGTGTTTGCTTGGTGGAGTCAAAGTAGTCTGTCATCATCATCTCACTCTTTAGTTTTTTTTTATTTATGAAATAGAATGAGCTGATCTATCACCATCTGATTCCTCGTAAGCTAATAACTAGTAGTACTACTATAAGGAAGGGGTTAATTTCACTAAATTTGAGGAACTACAATGTGTTAATTCTTCAAGCTAAAGGAGCAAAGGGAACCGCAGCTTCTGGAAATGGCGTGATCAATACTAGTAGCCACTTTATTACCAACACAAGATAAGCCCTTGTTTAGTTCGCGAAATTTGGATTTTGGGGCTACTTGTAGCACCTTCGTTTTATTTGGTAAATAGTGTTTAAACATGGACTAATTAGACTTAAAACGTTAAGTCTCGTAATTTCCCACCAAACTGTGCAATTAGTTTTTCTTTTCGTCACATTTAATGCTCCATGCATGGGCCAAAACATTCGATGTGACGGTCAGAAAGCAACTTTTTGGAATTTAGGGTGTAACTAAACAAGCCGTAAGTGTGTATGAAATGGCGTAAAAACTTGGAAGTAATAATGGAGATTATAGGGCTGCTTGGCGGGCTCCCGCACGCTCTGCTCCCACATCAGAAGCGCAAATCAGAAGGCTGCAAGAGCTTGAGCCGGAGGAGGAAAAAAAACGAGCTTCTCCGGCTCCGGCGCTGTTAGTGAGAGAGGCAAGGAGGAGAGAGAGAAAAACGACTCCGATGAGCAGTGTCGCTACAGAAGATGAACATGAGAGGAGTCAGAGCCGTCCAAAGCCCGGCCAAACAGGCTCTATATGATCGCTTCTTCTGCTTGTGGAAATCCCCCAAATCAGTCGTCAGAATCGGTTGCCTCCTGAATGACTGGAACGACGTAAACGATCTTTTGCATGATTTCTGTATGTAGCTAGCTCGGCCTCGTCTACCGTTTGCACTGGACCTTTCTTTCTCTAGACTCTCTATAAAGAGATGCACGTAGCTGTTACTGTGTATTACCTGGCGACCTAGATTCTATATATACCATTATTACATAATTGATTTTCGACATCGCATGCGCCTCTAATTTTTACCAAAGGAGGCTGAATCAACAACAATCTCTATAGAGGTCTTCATCAGGCATTCAGGGTCCATCAAGTGAACCACATTTGAAAATAGGAAAAAGTCTACTTAACCTCCTCATATTTCATACTTGGTCTACTTCACCCCCCAACTATGAAACCGTCTGTTTTACCTTCTGAACTTTCTAAAACCGTCTATTTTACCCCCTGAACGGTTTTCAGCGGCGGCTCTTAACATTATTGTCTAACTATAAAGCATGTCTATTACGTGTGAAAAATAGACGCCTGATGGTTCTAGTCCAGACGACTCCCTCCCTCTTTCGGCTTCAGCCTTTCACAGGATTGCGGTGGCACATGGACAAGTGAGGGACGGCACCGAAGATCGGGGTTGACTCGGATTAATTGCAGTTTAGGAATGCGGATGGGGTACCGCATTCTGTTCATACAGTTGCGCCAAGGACCTAATCCCAGTATTTTAGTCGTATTGTCCTAAATCAATAGCGACTGTTTTCTAATTTTCTTGTAGTAGAAGAATTTTAAGCATACAGTGGGACATCTTGCAACAGTCCCCATGAGGAGTACACTGCATAGTACCCATGAAGAATTTGATGCAGGAGGCACCGACAATTCATTAGCCCAAAGGCCACAACACACTGATGCAACTTGGTCATGGCATTCCCAAAACTCCCTCCGTTGTATCTTAAGTTCAATCAATTATAGATAAAAACTATCAATATTTATGATATCAAATAAATATAAGTAGATTAACTACTAAATGTATTTTTATAATAAATTATTTTAGAGCCATAAATGTGAATAATATTTATTAGATTTTTGGTTAAACGTGAATTACTTTGCTAACACGCAATACGTACGTTCACGTATGAATCAGGCCATGCGGGGGGGAAAGGTGGCGGGTTGCGGTGCAGGCATGGAAGTGAAGTAGTACTGAAGTTCTTGTCCTGCAACCAACTCCCAACCAAAAGGAAGACGAGCTGGCCCCGAGTTTCCACGCTCCATTACTTGTCCGCGGCCCGCCGGCCTTCAGATCGACCTCGTTCCGCTCCAAGTCGCAAACGGCGATATTGATGTGCGTCATCAGTACAGAAACAGATGCACCCTTCCCCGTCGGTGATGATGGCTCGATCTGCAGCCCCCGGCAAGGAAGACATGCCGACCAGAGCATCCGTCTCTCAGTAAAGCGCTTCGAACCGTACGCTGATCGCTGCAACTACCAGACAGAGACCGTAGTTATGGCCCTAGCTGGTGGATATGGTTCGAGGATGCCTACATTGGCTGCGTTCGGCTGACACCGTACTCGGATCCACTTCTTTTTTTTCATCCGAAACCGTGTGATTCATCCGTAAACGTAACTTTTTCCCGTCGCTACAGTGATTTTCGTGTCAGCTAATTGTTCGTAGCGTATCCTGTGCCATAGTCCCATCGAAATAAATAAATAATGTTATGGAGTATGGCGTCTTTTTCAGCTTGTTTTTTTCAGTTGGAACCGTGTTTTTCTCTCCTAACAAATCAGTCGGAACAATATTTCGACTTGTTTTTTCAGCGAAGCGAACTGTACTCGCCTACTGTACTAGGTCTCGCAAAAGAAGAAGAAGATGATGCTACACGTAGGAATATTTGTATAGGTATATATACGTATACGTATACACCCGGCTCCAGCCACGGACGACGGAGCTGCTGTCCGCCGGTCGCTAGCAGGTGGTTTCCCAGCACAACCGTCTTCACCGCGCGGCGCGCGAACAGGCCGGCCGGTGCCGTGCCGTCGCACGTCGGCTTGGGACGGTGACGGCCTGACGGGCATTCAATGGCGCGCGGCAGGCAGCCAGGTGGGGGGCAGTTGAGTTGAGTTGCCGCGATACACAGTTCCCATATGGCCCATGGGCCATGGCCGCCCCGGTCGTGGTCTTGTCCCAGTACGGCTCTCTCTACTACCCATACCCTACCTCTGTGCCAGTGTGCCGCCTGTGCGGCTGTGCGTGGTGCGTGCTGACCGCCGAGCGAGCAACGCTGGACTTGGACCCGGCCGATCCCCGGTGGTTCAATCAGTGATGGCACTCTATTACTGCGGCTGCTGTGCCCCAGAGCTGAGCAGCAGTGGAATACCAATTAATTCTCCCAACTCCAATCTACCCCCTGGTTTTGGTTATAAATATTGGCTAGTACCACCTGCTGCAGGGCCATCATCGTCTGCATCGCTCGCTCTCCTTTCACTGGGAAGAACATCTATCAGCTTGCTCATTGGCCATCTTCGATTGTCTTCCATGGAGAGGCTCCTCGCCGGCCTACTTGGCTTCCTATTGGTCAGTCCCTCTCACTGCCACGCAGTTCATCTTGTGCATCTTTTCTCCCATCATTTGCTTCATCAGCCTTACATGTATCGATAGATATGAGGGAAGGAATGTCGTTTCGTCTTTTTCAGTAATGGTTTCTACAACATTAGTACACGGTTGCTAGCTAGTGATGCCTATTAACCCTATTAACATATGCTGTTGCATGTGAATTTGAAAACATTCAGAAGAGATTCAGCTTATAACATATATAAGATGTATGCTTTCTAATTGTTTGAGATTTTTTTTCTATTGGTATATATCGATGCATTTTCAGGCGATGTTAAGGTTTTTTCCACTTTCACCCTAGTAATGAAATAAGGTAGACACGATCTCTGATGCAAAGAGAGAGCTCTTGTGGTTTGAATGCAGATCGCGTCAGTAGGAAGCCATGCAGCTCGTGCTCCGGATCAATACTGGAAGTCTGCTCTTCCCGACACTCCCATGCCGACCTCCCTCTCCCAACTCCTCGACACCCCAGGTATAACAATTTAACAGACAGCTCCAGATCTTCAGGCTTCAGTATGTACTCCAGATACTTTATATAGGTATGTCCATCACACAAACACACGTAGCACTAACACCTCTTCCTTGCTTATATATACGCAGCCGGAGGCACGACCGTCAACGTCGGCTGGGGCGGTGTCCACGTCGATGCCGGGCGCGGTAAGCCCGGTGGTACGACGGTTGACGTAGGCAAGGGCGGCGTCGGCGTCAACGTTAACCCCGGCAGCAGCGGCAAGAAGCCCGGCGGCACCACGGTCGGCGTTGGGGGAAATGGGGGAGTCGGCGTTAACGTCAATCCTGGTTATGGGAAGCCCGGCGGCACGACGGTTGGCGTCGGGAAGGGCGGAGTTGGTGTTAACGTCAACCCCGGCTACGGGAATCCCGGTGGCACCACTGTTGGCATCGGGAAGGGTGGCGTTGGCGTTAACGTCAACCCTGGCAAGCCCGGCGGCAGTGGCACCACGGTCGGCGTTGGCAAGGGCGGCGTTGGCGTCAACGTCAATCCTGGCTACGGCAAGCCCGGTGGCACCACGGTCGGCGTCGGCAAGGGCGGAGTGGGCGTCAACGTCAATCCTGGCAAGCCGGGTGGTACCGGCACAACCGTTGGCGTTGGCAAAGGCGGCGTGGGCGTCGGCGTCAATCCCGGGTACGGCAAGCCGGGCGGCACCACGGTTGGCGTTGGCAAGGGCGGGGTTGGCGTCCACGTGAACCCGGGCAAGAAGCCCGTCAACGTCAACGTCAGCCCTTTCATTTACAACTACGCCGCATCAGAGACGCAGCTGCACGACGACCCCAGCGTGGCGCTCTTCTTCCAGGAGAAGGACCTCCAGTCCGGTAAGAAGGTGACCGTCCAGTTCGCCAACACCGCGACCACCGGCGCCAAGTTCCTCCCGCGAAGCGAGGCCGAGGCCATCCCGTTCTCCTCCGAGAAGGTCCCCGAGATCCTCGCCCGCTTCTCGGTGGACCCCGACTCCGTCGAGGCGGCGGAGATGGCGCAGACGTTGCACGACTGCGAGGCGCCCGCGGCCAAGGGCGAGAAGAAGGTGTGCTCCACGTCGCTGGAGTCCATGGTGGACTTCGCCACCACCAGCCTCGGGACCAGCCACGTGAGGGCCGTCTCGACCGTCGTGGCCAAGGAGGGCTCGCCGAAGCAGGAGTACACCATGACCGGCGTGAAGCGCGCGGCCGGCACCGACGACGGCGGCCGCCTCGTGGCCTGCCACGCGGAGCCGTACGCGTACGCCGTGTTCGCGTGCCACCTGACGCAGCAGACGCGGGCGTACACGGTGTCGATGCTCGGCACGGACGGCACGGCCGTGGACGCTGTCGCGGTGTGCCACGCCGACACGTCCGGGTGGAACCCCAAGCACGTCGCCTTCCAGGTGCTCAACGTGAAGCCCGGCACGGTGCCGGTCTGCCACTTCCTGCCGCAGGACCACGTCGTCTGGACCCGCAGCGGCTGAGGCTGCTCTGGATGGCCGCCGTTTGCTGTTTCGTCGCGCCGCCTGATGGAGTGATGGTTTCGTTTCATTGTGTTCTAGTAGCCTCTGGGCATACTGTCGTTTATGTTTCCAATACAGTGCTTGATTGTGTCAAAAAAAAAAAAGTACAGTGCTTGATGCTTTGTATGGATGGTGTTGCCAGCCAGTATCGACCACCTGCTTAGATTCTGTTGTATAGTTTTAAATAAACAGACAGCTCTTTATGGTTACTGCTGCTCTCAGCCTAAACAAACTTCTGTTGATCTACAACGCTTCGTCTACGCAGACATCTAAACTCAGCCCTATCAGCACTTGGGTTCATTCCATAGCACGACAGGGCTACCAACACGGTGTAACAAACAGGTACCGACATAAGAGAACTGAACGTGGAATTATGCACAAATTTAAAATGGGAGTACTCCCTCTGTCCTAAAAACAGTCCATGAATCTCAAGTTTAACCACGTTTATAAAACAAAATTGCTTCCTCCATCCCTGAATAAATAAATTCTAAAAATAAACAAAGATAAGTAAATACATCTTGAAGTTTGACTAAGTTTATATAGAAAAGTATCATTAACAAACATATATGAAGCACTATTTGATACGAGTAGTAAAATTCCAGAGTGACCACTAAATACAAAAATAGTTCTAAAGTCATCAAAAGTTCGTTAACAATCAGATGCAACAGGGCTAGACAAGTTGAATGCACACTAACAATCAGATGCAACAAAAGCTGATGTAATTACTGTTCTCACTTAATAAAATGAAATGACATTCCGTATAGAGGGCTAAATGAGGAAATGCTAGATCATCCTCCTAACTATTTCTCTTCCGTATTGGATGATTTTACATGTACATGTTTCCACATTTTCAATGACTTTGATCTACACTGAAATTCTCCCTAGTTCCATACTCAGCAAACATTCACGAAATTCTGATAATATGTACTTTCTGATAGAAACCATCACAACTATGACCAAGTCTCGATGTTAAGTCTACCAGCCCTTTCTAGATCCCTGAGCCATTTTGAAGCATCTGCTTGTTTGACACCACCTTCTTTACAAATAACCTCCTCTAGTGCAGCTGTAACATCAGCAGGCATTTTCGTCGAAGAGCCCGCAATGTAAATCACTGCATCGGACAGTAATAAGTTCCACACTATTGAACTCTGTTCCTTTATCTTATGTTGCACATAGACCTTTTGAGGCTGATCCCGGGAAAAAGCAACAAATAAACCACCACCCTTTTTCGAGGACAACACCCCCTCATCCTGGGCATGAGTTAACCAGAAATCCTTGTATAGAAAATCGTTATCTTGATTTCTACAGCCAAAGAAGAACAGAACCGGGGCTGTTGGTTCTGCTGCAGACTGTGCAGCCCTTTCCTCTACAAATGCACGGAATGGTGCACATCCTGTTCCTGGTCCTATCAACACAAGAGGAACCATTGGACGTGGAGGAGGAAGGGATCCTTGGTGTATCCAACACGGGATAAGAATGTCTGCACACAAGCATAATGTGAGAGAGGGTAGGTGGTTGTGTTTTGGTCAGTACTGAGCAGCGTAGCTACAACAGCTAAATGAAGTTAAGCAGAAGAGAGGATACTAATTGCAGCTAACTGAAGCAGAACATACCTTTATTTGGATTGAGCCCGGCCAGCCATGTAGAACAGAGTCCACGCCGGGTTCTCTTGAATGGAGTAACCCATGCTACGATGCTAACGGTCAAATGGATTTGATTTGGGTGTGCCAGTGGGGATGATGAGATGGAAAAGGCTCTTTTCTTCAGTGGAGGTGTTAGTTGCACCAGCCATTCAAAAGGCATTTGAACTGAAGGAAAATCCTCCAACACCTAAAAATGACACAAAATCATGTAACTACTGTGAACCATGGAAATTAACTGAAGAGAAAAATGGGTATATTTACTGCCAAAATTATTCTGCATGACAAGCCATCTTGGAAAGAATGTTGTTATGAAAAGCTTCAGTGAAAGCCTTCCTCACCTCTAGAACAGTCCTACTCTCCTTCTGATTGTACTGGTAAAGATCATCTCTTCCTTCAGGAGAAGCAAAATACTGAAGCCTCTCCTTTTCACGTTCACTTGTTGCAAAAAAGCTCATGACCTACCAAAGAACATTGGAGTTACGTGAGCATTAGCAGCTTCGCATGACATATATTAGTTAGATAGACATCATATCAGACGCATAGATATAAATATGTGACATCAAAAGAATAGAAAAGAGGTTATAAGATTAATTCAAAATATTGGTTCTTGCCTCAAAGAAATATCGACGAGGGGAAGCTGACGCGACATCCATTGTCAAAGCAACAAAGGTCCTTAATTTGATGCGGTCCATCTGGCTATGCACAACTGAACCCTTCGAAACTTTATCCCCACTTCTCACTCCAATCTGAGCAAACAAAAGGACATGCTTTCTCATTAGTAACTAGATAACTGTAACAGATGAGAAGATAAGAAAAATGCACATCTAAGGGCCAGTTTGGCAGCTCTCTGCTCCGCGAGATTCAGGTGGAGCGCTGCCAAACGCCACTGCTACCACCCCCGCTCCGCATGTGAAGCGCTCCAGCCGTTTTGCACTACTGGTGGGGAGTGGAAAAAACCTGGTCCCTGTGCTCTGCTCCGCTCCTGTCATACTTCTCCGCTACCCCGCCGCCCTTCTTCTCCACCTCCCCGCCACTCGCCTCCCCCACCGCCCTTCACCCCCGCTACCCTTCTTCGCCGATTCACAACTGGGTGAGCTTGACTCGTGGGAGGAGAGCACAATTTGCCAGAGGCTGACCTCGATCCATGCGAGGAGGTCAATTCGCCGCGGCTGACCCTGACCCAGCCACGTGCTGACTCTGTGCCGCCATCGCCTGAGATGGAGTGACGAGAAGCTCTACCAAACGGTTCATGCGGGAACCTAGAACGACCGGGAGAAGGAGCTAGAGCGACGGGAAGTTGCATTAGAGCTTTACCAAACTGGCCCTAATTATCTCCCTTCTAACAGATGAACTTTATCATTTCAGGAAAGAAAGGTGTAATTGTCTAAACCATATGATAAACTGATTGTAAAACGAAAATGTTGTTAAGCCAGCTGTATTTACAGCTACTAATGGGGATACAACAAGTATTGGAAAATAAAGAAAGTTGCTGTATCAGGATACCAAAAATACAGTTACAAGTAGATAACTCTATTATACAGAACAAAATAGATTCACGTACCGTTATGTAACAATCTGGATCCAAGTTACAGCGTTCAATGAAGGCATCGACAGCTGATGGATTTTGACTTGGTAGAATTTCAAGAGCATCACCAATTTTATAACTGATGGCCTAACATGAGAAATATGCAATTATGTTCCCATTTCTGAAGTATCACACTTCATAGGAATTCATGAGAAAATTACAGTGTAGTATAAATTACATACTGAAGATGGATCTTCCAATTCAAAGTGGCGAACATCTCTATCAGAACCCTCCTTAGTCAAACGCTTGTTTTTTACCTGAAAAGAGTGTTCAATACCATTAATTCATTAGCAACAGAAACAATAACGAGATTAGTGCTGAATCATGATACATTGACATAACAGATGGACCATCATTTTCACCAAGCTTGTTGTCTGCCAAACTAGTCTTTAAAAATTGGCATCCAGTATCCACTAGTTAGTTAGTTTTGACTTTATTTCACCACTGTAAACATCTTGGAACGCGGGGCAAAAATCTATCAATCTATAACGTGTAACTTCAAGCTGACCTCAGTACTGAAATGATAGTGATTAGCTGCTCGAATTCAGCTCATTGCAGGCTTGATTCGAACTCGGCTCAACAGGAAATCAAGCGAAGCTCGAGGTCAGGCCAAAGTTGGCAAAACTTTTATCGAGCGATCTCAAGTAGCTTGATGGAGCTCGTGTTAGATGATTTTCTAGCATGTTTATCGCCTTTCAAACTTACAAGCAGTCAACGAAGGCCCAAGGCCCAAGCAAACTAGCAGACCACAGAGCCCACTCCTGTGTCCATCCCTCTGAGTCACCGATGCCAACCCTATCCTAGCGCCGCTTCTTACCAGCGACTAAGTGAGTGCTGCCTCGCGTCACTGACCAGCGACAAGCCGACCACCACATTCCTCACTCTCCATGCCAGTACCCTCCTCCATCCACCATCATGCCTCTCTCCCCTCACGGCCTAGCCGCCCCCTTCACAGCTAGAAATGTACTGCACTGCCACGCTCGACCCCACGAATATCCAGGTTGAGCTCCTGAAGATCTCAACACAGATATACTATTTCTTAAATTTGCTATCTTTTCTTTTCCTTCGATTCATCCACTCAAGCATTTTTTGAAGCATCCCTAGACCCTAGTAGTATCTTTGGACTCTAAATTTCTCGTTTGGGATCATGTCTTCCTCCATCCTCCCCATGACCATGACCATGAACTTGGTGTCAATGTAGATGCTGGTGGCGAGCTTTTCCGAGCCAAGCTCGAGCTCCACTGCAAGATCGAGCGGGATCCTGAGCTTGCTCGGGCTCTGCTCGAGAGCATGACCAGCTCAAGCCTCAAACAATAAGCAGGTAAGTTAGCTTGAGCTCGGCTCATTGACAGCCCTATTTGGGAGGCACATGCCTTTTTCAACAATGAATTTTGTGAGTACTCAGAGTCCAGATAATAGTTTTAGTACCACAGGAACAAAATTTAAATAATATCCATGACTAGAAATGGTCAGCACGCTGAAATTATTATGGTTTCAAAGCAAAGGAAAACTAATTTAGATATGAACCAAGGATAGAGATAACAATGATTCAAGTTCAAGCTGTGTAAAGAGCATATTACATACCATTTGAAGCATGTAAGGTGGCTCTCCATCAGCATGGAACCGTAGTGCAGGGGACATTGATCTTGCGCTACTTATTATTTTACTGGGGTCTGTGAAATAGACAATAGCTAAAATCATGAACAGGTACTGCAAAATAGAGCATACCAGTAAATAATACCAAGTTCATCCATTCATACCTGAAAGTATAGGATCTTGTGGAACTTCATTGGAAGAGTAATAAATGACATGAACTTTGGGATGCCCCAAAATACTCAAATTAGAATCATTGATATCAGACACTCTAGGTAAGAGTGACGGATTAATTTCATTCAGAGATTTCCACATAGATAGCAACCAAGGATCTAAAGCCCCTTCATATCTGATGTTGCACAATGAAGAAAATCCATTAAAGTTGAGAAATGCTTCTGAGGGAAAAGAAAATGACAATGTACAAATGTTACAACCACAATGTCACAATTATTTACACAAAGCAAGTGAGATATTAAAATCGTACCCTGAAGGGTGTTGGTCATCTCCCAGACCTATCTCTAGGACTGGTTCTGCACCAAGATGTAAAAGCCTTCTATCAAGCTTCTTTGCAGCAAACTGCAGTAGTAAACACACTAATGAAGGGCAAACAGAAACAAGAGGACCATTGCTAACCAGAAGTCATGACTTATGAGAAGTGTATTACAAGCTTACAGCCTCGGTTTGACTGAAATAAGATATACAGTTAAGGATATGTTTAGAATATACCCCTTCCGTTCCAAATTATAAGACATGTTGCCTTTTCTAGATACATTGCTTTTACTATGTATCTAGACATAATGTATATCTAAGTGCATAGCAAAAGCACGTATCTAGAAAAGCCAAAACGTCTGATAATTTGAAATGGAGGGAGTACAAAAGGAAAAAGTTACAATGTTGTGTTGAGGTGCATGCAAATGTTATCTGAAGCTGGTACAGTGGTTATATTAGAACTTAAGAATATACTAGCTTCAGTTTACAAGCATTCACCTAATAGTACTAGGACTAAAAAAAAGCTTTATATCTCCCCAAAAATATGGTGCTTAACACTTAATCGCTCATCGCAACCACCCAAAGCAAAGGGAACAGAGTCACTATATGTCATTATAACCATATACTATTTTCTAAAGATGCACTGTGTGGAACGTTCTTCTGGCAATAAGTCCCTAAAATGTAGGTAATTAACTGCAATTATTTCAACAATTCTACACACATTATCATACTGATGGCAGCATATAATGATTATTAGCAAGCTCAATTCCACAGAAAAAAGTCTCACATTGTACTTCTGGTAGCCTGAATCCCCGAGTCCAAACACTGCGTGATGGATCCCCTCAAGCCATTGTCTGTCCAGATCCTTCCGAAGCAGGTATCTCCAAAACCCCTGCCGCAACATCCAACCAAAATCCCAATAAGCAATTCAGACGACTGGAAATAATCTAGTGGATCAAAATGTCCAGACCTTCATGGAATCCGGGGGATCGCCCTGCCCCGTGGTGGAGACGACAAAGACCACGAACCGCTCGTTTGGCAAGCGACTCTGCACGAACAAACAGAGGCGTCACATTCTCACATGCACGGGTTGTTTGGCTGAGGGCTTTAGGTTTTGGAGCTTACGGGGTCGAAGCTGTCCATGGAGAGCACGTCGACGGCCGGGCAGCCGCCACGTTCTGCCTCGCGGCCGACACGCTCTGCGGCGTCCATGGCGTTCCCAGTTTGTGACGCGTAGAGCACGAGGAGGCGACCGCTGGAGGACGCCGCCGCGTCAGCCTCCGCGGACGAGGGCGCCATGGAATAAGAGCTCAGAATCCGCTGCCTGCAGTAACCTAGCGGCGGCCAACAAGCGCAGCCAAGAGGCGCCTCAATCGGCTCACTCCGCCCAGGTCACGCAAGCTCCTGCCGCCGCTGCAATGGTTCGCCCGTACGATCGCCTACCTTGAGCTTGGTGCTCGCTGGGCGCACGTGCCTCTCTTGTGTCCGGCGGAGGCGGCGGCGGCGGTTGCCAAGCGAGACTATGAGAGGGGGAAAGGGTAGGAGGGCGAAAGAGAGTTGCTTTCTTGCCCTGTTGACCATGACAAGGCCCAACCTATATTAGTATTGGGCCTAGCTCGGGCCGGATTCTAACGTCGTGGTGCCGTGTGGCCTTTCACATTGGGTTCATTCTTTGGTGACGCCCCCATAGGTCTCAACTTTCAAACACTTCCATAGATTTCTTTTTTTTTTAAGGAATTTTATTCCGATCTGTGTAAGAGTTTGCATATAACCAAACAAAGAGATATTGACTAAACGCTAAGCCTTTCAAAGATAACAATCCATGCTTGGCGAAATTTCTAGAAACCTTTGACTCTTATAATAATGGATGTTTGATCACAAAACTCATGTAGAAATTGGATAGAAATTCCTGATATCTAAAGAAATGAATTCTACATAGGAGTCTAAAGGAATGTCATATAGTGCAATCCTTTGTCTTTATTGAACTGCATGCTCTGACTAGTTTAACTAAAAAACTTAGGCAATTATAAAAATGTGCTCCCCTCAAAAACTTAAGTTGTTAGGAAAATGTGCTCCCCTAACGTAGGGCTCCCTTTATCCTTAAACTTGGAAGTAGAAGTCCAGTGCAATTATTTTATTTTGTTTTGTTTATTTTATTGTGCTTGTTGTGATTCGAAGACAAGTAATTCATTTTACTTCAACACTTTTCCTAACGTTGAGGCTCCCTCGTACCTCAGCCTTCAGACATGGATACAAAGGAGCAATTATTTTTATTTATTTAACTAGCAAACATGTTCGCGAGCTACAATGGAACCCAACACGTCTTGACTCTTGAAATCAGATTATGTGTCATCGTTGAACGCTAGCTAAGATTAGAATTTGAAACCTTTGGCTCTAATATCGTATTTAGTTCTATGCCAGTTCAACCCAAAAAAAAAGACTTAAACTGATGGGTGTCTATAATTCACTTTGTTTTACAACTATCTCAAAATTAAGGAACATACATATAGAATCGGAAACCCTCAAAATTCCCATTTATTGCTCCGGAGTCTGGAAGCTAAGAAAAGACTATCGTCTCGTCTGGCGTTTGATGACAGCTTCAAGCCTCGAGTCTTACATGGATGCATATAAATCATCGAGCAAAATTCATGAATAATGTGTGCATACACATCATGGGGAGCAACGATATATACTGTAATAGTGATGCACAGTCACTTCCAACGGATTTCGTACCTGTCCTAGATGTCGTGTAACACAGAGCGCTTGTTTGTCGGGACACGTAAACCCCTGCTGCTATTTATGTAATCATGTCTACGTCGTCACTCGTCAAGCACGCTGCTATTTATATAAGTAGTCCATTTTTTTTGTAGCTTCTTGATGACAATGCGATCAGAGCTATATCCAATTGCACAGAGGTCGTATCTATCGATATAAGCTAGGTAGCTCAAAAACTATTTGGTTGGAAGCCTGGTAGGCAAATGCCTGCAGGTTCTGGTTTTCGCATGCATTTTTTAGGCAAGGACTGAATGAAGGACACATGCGTGCGCCCGTGCGGCGCCTCACCAAACACGATCTACCAGTCCACAGAAATGACAGAATGGATGCTTCTATTCCATCGCTTTGCATATAATGCATATAGAACTCCAACTAAGCTGCACGGATCAAGAAAAGCTGTGTTCCAAGGAAACGTACGTACGCACTCTCGATCATATTGTTGCTCCAAAAGTAACGAGACAGAGAATAACGTACGCAAGGGCCGTTTCATTCAGCTTTACTACTTCGTGAAACGTGCGCTAGCTGCTCATCATTCTTTTTTTTAAAACAGAAATACTATACAACACACATGTGTTTTAGAAAAAAAAACACATGAATTTTTTCTCTCTCTCTCCCTCTCTTTTCAACTGTCTACGCGTATACGAGAGGACGAGATCAATCCGGCCGGACGTGCTTGAGAATCAAGCCGTCTAGGCATTTAGCTAATTTGGTCACGCGCACAGCTAGCACTGAACCTATACGGTGCGCTAGCACTGAACCTATACGCGTATACGCGTGCGGCTAATTTGTTCTTTTGTTTTTTCATAGAAAAAAATTATTTCTTGTGATCTGTGGATCTGTGATCTTGTGATTTATGATTGTCTGGAGGTAGAAGAAGGTTGGAGATAGAAAGAGGATAGAGGCTGTTGGATCTTAATTCTATGGTGAAAAAAAAATTATGTGTTGAAACTGCATAAAGCACGTGACTATACATACTCTTAAAAAAAGGGCCGGCCGGCAGTAGTCTGGAGCAAGCCTCCGATCCATGCATCGGCACCTAAGCCGGGGGGGCGGGCGGACGGGGCGGTTGAACGGATTCAGCAGCCACCAGCATTCCAGCATCAGGGGTAGTTGAGATATATATGGTTGCTCACTTGCTCGATTATCTCTCCCTCCCTCTCTCTCTCTCTCTCTCTCTCTCTCTCTCTCTCTCTCTCTCTGCAGGCTTTGCGCGTGCACGTTTACCCAACTAAATCTCCTCTCTCATCTTCTGGTGCCTTCTCGTTCACTCACACTTCAGCTAGCTCTGCAAGGACCCGTACGTTGGGCCTGCAGCCTGGTGATGAGTTGCTTCTATAAATCACAAGACATGTTGTCTCATCAACTCTCAAAGGCGCCGGCCTATACACGTGACGACACGTCCCACTAGCTAGAAGGAACGCAGGCGTCGCCCGACGCCCGTAGAACGAGTGGATCCCATGGAGAACCAGCAGCTGCAAGGAGACGAGTCGTCGTCGTCGTACGCGCTCCCCAGCTTCCCCTACTTCGCCGTGCCGACGCCGAGCTTATTACCGCCACCATCGGATGACCAGCACAGTACCCTCATCGTCACAGCGCTCCAGCAGCAACCGTCGTCGGCGTGCAATAACGACGACCTTCCTCTTCAGCTGGGGCCTGATCAGCTAGCGGCGGCGGCGGCGGCTACGGTGCCGCCGTTGATTCTCCCGGCGATGGTGGACTGGTCGGCGCTGCTCCAGCAGGCCAGCTTGATGGGGCCCCTCGCACCGGGACTACTGCAGCTGCAGCAACCGCCCCTGGAGTCGTTGTTGGACCAGAGCGGGGAGAACGACGGCGGCGGCGACGCAGGGAGTAGTAGTAGTAGCAAGGAGAAGGCGGCCAAAGGCGGCGGCGGCGCAGCCGGCGGGAGGTCTGGGAAGAAGAAGGCGAGCAGGCCGCGGTTCGCGTTCCAGACGAGGAGCGTCAACGACATCCTGGACGACGGCTACCGGTGGAGGAAGTACGGGCAGAAGGCCGTCAAGAACAGCGAACACCCCAGGTTCGATTTCTCCATGTTTTCGTTTCAATCATTTTCATGCATGGCATGCATAACCACCGACCTTGATCGGGCGCATGCCTGGCGCGTCCATGCACACACGCGGATCAATTATTGCATACATATAATTGCATATACGAACTTGCTGAAATAATATGTGTTTGCAAAGCACATGTGTGCATGTAACATATGCGTTTCGACTTTCGATTGGCATGCATGTTTGCATATATGCATGCATTCAGATGTCATCAGCTAGGTCATCATCTCGCTTACAATTTAATTAGAAAACAAATGTTGATGGAGGTTCAACGCTCCCTAACTAATTTGCATGGCAGCATGGGTACGGTCGTGTGTGTCAGTGAGTGCGCTAAGCCGTGTGTGTAATTCGTGTCTATAAAACCGCCGCCTAGTATTGTTGTTCGCCAAATTTCTATCTACACATCTACTTGCTTGTCCGCATGCATATTAAAATGACAACATACATGTCGTTCATCTATAGCTAGTCGATGGCCTGGATAGACAGCTGTCTCCAACAGAAGACCAAACTTAAAATAGGTCTTCAACACAATACCTATAGTCTACAATAGAGTACCTATATGGAAGACTCATTTTAGATGCCAGTAAAGACATAACCCAAATCTGAGCATCCTCTCTCCTGGAGACTCATATGTAGAAAGAGTTGTCTTTTAAGTCTTGTTGTTGGAGAAGACAAAAAATAGGTATTTAACCCTTTGCCTACCAAAAAGGATGAATGAGTCTTGTATTTTGGATCGCGGTTGTTAGAGACAGTCTTAGATGCCATCTACTTCCTCCATTCTAAATTATTATTGCTTACTTTTGCTTTGTACTAAGTCATACTTCTTAAACTTTAGCTATGTTTATAAAAAAATATTAATATCTACAAATTTAAATAAATGCCCTATCAAGACATATTCACGAAGAATTTAATGGAACTAATTTGGTATTATAGATGTTGTTGAGCATTTTTCCTATAAATTAGATTAAAGTTCGAGAAGTTTGATGTAGCATAAAGCTAAAATTAACTATAATTTCGAAAGAAGAAATTACTAATGGTTTTCATAGAGGAATAGAGCATGCAACATATGCATGCCATTAGTATAGAAACGGTTTTTTATGATGTCTCTATTTTTTTTCATCGGCGGTTCATAAAGGACATACGTCAATAGAAACAAAAGCGTGAGCTCATTGCTACGAACCATTAGTGCAAACATATCTATACTGGTAGTTGGCGCTTAAGGGATGACTACCGGTGTAAATCTTAGATTTATGCTAGCGGTAGCCTTAAAAAGGACGCCGGTGTAAATAGAATCTATAATGGCGGTAGCTTTAAGAAAACTGTCAGTGTAAATCCAATATTTATACCGACGGTGGCTTTAAGAAAACTGTCAGTATGGATGTGTTTGAACTGCAGTTTTCTTAAGTTGGCTGCCGGTACAAAGAATTTGATTTTTTAAAATGATCTCGGATGGAG